GTAAGGACCGGCCTGCTCGCGGCACGTGTGCGGCCCGCTGCCCTGCCCAACACGCATGTCCTAGCGTCCAGCTGGCGTGCTCGAGGCCCTGCCTTCGAGAGGACACGTCCCCGGGCCTCGGTCCCTCTCCATCCACAGTCTGAGCCCCTGGCCGTGGCCCACCTCCCTGAGGACCAGGAGGTGGCCCCGCCGGCCCTCAGGCTGCTCACTGCCGGGGCGGGGGGACCGGGGGAGGGCCTGTGGAAGGACCCCTGGGAGGAATGAGCTCCTGGTTCGGGTTTGCGGTGGGTGTGGCACATGGAAGGGCTGCGAGTGACAGACAGATCGATCCAGGGAGCGGCTCCTGCCTCGGCAGTGCCTTTGCGGGCTGCAGGAGGAGCGGACGGGGAGGAGCGGACAGGGAGGAGTGGACACAGGCAGGGGCGGTGTGCGGTGGCCACGTGGCTGCCCGGTCTGGTCAGGCTGCCCGAGTTCAGAGCCCAGCCCCACTGCCAGTGGCCTGGGCAGTGCACCCCTCTGCGTGCCAGGGTCCTGCTGGGAGGAGAGGGGTGGAGCGGAGTCTCCCTCGGAGCTGTCTGAGGAATGACGATGGCGCTGCGGCGAGGGCACACGGACAGCCTGGTTAGGGGTGCTTCCTGCACCCACGCCTATTCACACCCAGTTCCACAGGCAGAACTTTCCACAACTTTCACAGCAGCCCTGCCTTCCAAACTCGGGACCGAGTCGATTTATATAAATTCCTCACTAACCAAGTCATCACTGTTTGCTTTCCAAAATTCAGAAACTTAAAACAAATCAGAAAACCCAGTTACCATCCAGTGGCGTGGCTCAGTGGCTGAGCGTCAACCTATGAACCAGGAGGTCAGAGTTCAATTCCTGGTCAGGGCACAGGCCCGGGTTGAAGGTTCGATCCCCGTGGTGGAGCGTACAGGAGGCAGCCGATCAGTGATTCTCTCTTCACTGATGTTTCTGTCTCTCTCTCCCTTCCTCTCTGAAATCAACAAGGATATCTTTTTTAAAAAAGAAAGTAAACTCTGTTACCCTCACTACCTAAACTCAGGGACCAGTTGGTTTTGGAAAGCCAGGGTGCTTGCAGTTATAAACCCTGAAATTTAGAGGGGAGGACACTGAGCTGAGAGGGTAACTGACTTAACTCGAGGTCACACAGTCTTAGGCGGCAGATGTGGGATTTGAACCCTTCCTCTGCCTCGGGGGTCTAACACCAGTGCTTGGGGCCTCACCCCCATCCTACGCTGTAGCTGAGCCGGTCTCTGGGAACGAGCTCTTTTCCCTAAAATCCTCCCCACCGCCCCGGCCGGATGCTCAGTGAGTTGGAGCATCATCCCGTAAGGTTGTGGGTTCGATGATTCCTGGTCAGAGCACATATAGGCTGTGGGTTTGATCCCTGTCAAGGGGCACATGGGAGGCAGCTGACCAATGTTTTTCTCTCTCCCCCTTTCTCTCTCTAAAATATAAGAATAAAAATAATCAGTAAACACATCCTCAGGTGAGGATTTAAAAAATCGGAATCCTCCCACCCCAGCACCCTGGGCCTGTCAGGAGCTTCCAGCTGTCTTCCTAGAGGGTTTGACCCTGTGCAGTTGGATTCTCTTCTCTACCTGCCCTCCTGTACCCTCTGCCACCTCCCACGCACACACACACACACACTCACACACACACACACACTCACACACACACGCACACACACACTCACACACACACACTCACACACACACTCACACACACTCACACACACACACTCACACTCACACTCACACACACACACATGCACACACACACACTCACACACACACACATTCACACACACACTCACACACACACGCACTCACACACACGCACACACACACTCACACTCACACACTCACACATACACACGCACACTCACATACACGCACACACACGCACACACACACACATACACACACTCACACACACTCACACACACGCGCGCACACACACACACTCACACGCACACACTCACACACACTCACACACACACGCGCGCACACACACACACACTCACACTCACACACGCACACGCACACACTCACACACACACGTGCACACACACACGCGCGCACACAGGCGCACACGCACACATACACACACTCTCTCTCACACACACACACACACACACACACACACACAGGACCAGCAGCCAAGAAGCCAGACACCTAATCCTCAGGCCAAGAATTATTTATATGAGCATCCCCCACTTTCCATGGTCAAGAGAGTCACGGATACCCCGGGCCGGGCGTCTGTGACGTGCCTGCCAGGCCCCGCCGGCCAATGTCACTGCAACCCGACTCTCCGCTGTGCCAGGCGCGGAGTCTAAAATTAGCCTCAGGCCGTTACAGACACGCTCACCTGATACCTGCCTCCCAGGCCAGCCCGCCGCCCGGCGTTTCCTGTCTTCGCTGCCCCGGCTGCCCCTCGGCCTGGCCGGGGCCCTGTCCCTGCCGGAGGCGCAGTGTGCAGAGCCCGGCTCGGACGGGGCTGGTGTGTGCCTCTGGGACCCTCGTGTCCTGTCCCAGGACAAACGGCCACCGCCTGGTGGCTCAGCACGCGGAGCGTCCCTGGAAGGCTCCCGGTCCTTCCTGCCCTCCCGCTCACCCCGGGGGTGTGGGTGCAGCAGCCAGTCTCGGCCTCGGCCCACAGGGCCGCTCCACTCCGGTCTCTGAGTCTCGGGTGAGGGCACCGGGCGTGGCTTAGGGGCCACCCCGGGGATCCAGGACCACCTCGTGTGAGGTCCTTGATTACCTGTGCGAAGACCCTTTTCCCAAACGAGGCCGGACCCGCAGCCTCTGGTGTGCACATGTTTTCAGAGCTGCCACCAACCCCTTCCCTGGGCCTCATCGTCAGTGAGGAGCTGATCCGGCAAGCAGTAGGGGGTGTGGCTGTGGCCCGCAGACACTGGTCCTGGCTAACCGGCAGACCGGGAGGTTGTGGGACAGAAATTTCTAGAAAAATGGCCGTGGAGGCAGCCCTCAGGGCCGGAGGGGCGGGAGCTGAGGACCAGTCTGGGTAAGCCCCCTCCTCGGATCGCTTTCCTGGGGGAGCACGGGTCACTGGCCAGCGAGGGCGCCGGCGCCGCCTCAGGGCCAGAGGCACAGCTGGACCTCCCAAGGGGAGAGGGTGAGCTTGGGGTGCAGCCGTGTGGGGTTCCCAAGTAGAGCATCGTCCAGGGGGCACCATCTCAGCTGAGGAGTTAGGCTGAGTGTCAAGTAATTTACAGAGAAGTAATTTTTTTTTTTTTTTTTTTTTTTTTTTTTTTTTTTTTTTTTTTTAATCAATCTTTATTGTTCATATTATTACAAAGGTTCCTCATTTCTTCCCCCCTCCACCAGGTTCCCCCCCCACTCTCCGTCCCCCCCCCATCCCCCATTGTCCTCATCCATAGGTGCAGTTTATGTTCAGTCTCTTCTTCCCTCAATTTCCCCAATAGTAAATCCCTTTTCAGATAGTAAATCAGTTACTTAGCATTTTCTCATATCAATAATACCTCCACATGTCCAATGATACACTTCACACAAAAGACATTTCCCACTAGGTCAACCAGCCTCATCCAGGCCCCACCCAAGGCACTCACAGATCAACACCCCAGTCCTAAACTAACGCAACACATCCAGATCTAAGCCTTCACCACTTCATTCAGCAGACCCTCAAGTTCCCACAAAAGTTTCCAGCCATGTCTGAGAAGCAGCCGTGGGGCAGGGGCAGGCAAGGAGCGAGCTGTTCTGGGCCAGGCTGCTCAGGGCCTGGCCTCTGTTGCTCTGGTTCATTCCACAACCAGCTGCTCCGGGTCTGGTCACTGCCGTTCCCGACCTAGTTGCTCTGGACTTGGCTGCTGCTACTCCGGGCCTGGCCGCTCCCAGCCTGGTAGCCGCTGCTCCGGGCCTGGCCGCACCCGACCCGCCTGCTCCCCCGGGCCTGGCCGCTCCCAGCCTGGCAGCCGCTGCTCCGGGCCTGGCCGCACCCGACCCGCCTGCTCCCCCGGGCCTGGCCGCTCCCAGCCTGGCAGCCGCTGCTCCGGGCCTGGCCGCACCAGCCCCGCCTGCTCCCCCGGGCCTGGCCGCTCCCAGCCTGGCAGCCGCTGCTCCGGGCCTGGCCGCACCCGACCCGCCTGCTCCCCCGGTCCTGGCCGCTCCCAGCCTGGCAGCCGCTGCTCCGGGCCTGGCCGCACCCGACCCGCCTGCTCCCCCGGGCCTGGCCGCTCCCAGCCTGGCAGCCGCTGCTCCGGGCCTGGCCGCACCCGACCCGCCTGCTCCCCCGGGCCTGGCCGCTCCCAGCCTGGCAGCCGCTGCTCCGGGCCTGGCCGCACCCGCCCCGCCTGCTCCCCCGGGCCTGGCCGCTCCCAGCCTGGCAGCCGCTGCTCCGGGCCTGGCCGCACCAGCCCCGCCTGCTCCCCCGGGCCTGGCCGCTCCCAGCCTGGCAGCCGCTGCTCCGGGCCTGGCCGCACCCGACCCGCCTGCTCCCCCGGGCCTGGCCGCTCCCAGCCTGGCAGCCGCTGCTCCGGGCCTGGCCGCACCCGACCCGCCTGCTCCCCCGGGCCTGGCCGCTCCCAGCCTGGCAGCCGCTGCTCCGGGCCTGGCCGCACCAGCCCCGCCTGCTCCCCCGGGCCTGGCCGCTCCCAGCCTGGCAGCCGCTGCTCCGGGCCTGGCCGCACCCGACCCGCCTGCTCCCCCGGTCCTGGCCGCTCCCAGCCTGGCAGCCGCTGCTCCGGGCCTGGCCGCACCCGACCCGCCTGCTCCCCCGGGCCTGGCCGCTCCCAGCCTGGCAGCCGCTGCTCCGGGCCTGGCCGCACCCGACCCGCCTGCTCCCCCAGGCCTGGCCGCTCCCAGCCTGGCAGCCGCTGCTCCGGGCCTGGCCGCACCCGCCCCGCCTGCTCCCCCGGGCCTGGCCGCTCCCAGCCTGGCAGCCGCTGCTCCGGGCCTGGCCGCACCAGCCCCGCCTGCTCCCCCGGGCCTGGCCGCTCCCAG